AGGATACGGGCATTTCTCCATGACAACGAGGGAAGAGGTAGTATTAGCCTAGTTTTTCATTATATATAATAATAGCCTAATAGTTAGCCAAAGCATTAGTTTTTACATTTGTTCTTCATGATATGATCATACAAATAAGGAAATATTAATTTAGTAATAGAAACTAAATTTAATAATTTTAATCATCTAACATGATGTTTTATTAGGCTTAATATGTTTCTATTCATAAGCTAAAAAGCAATCATACTCCCTCTATCCTAAAAATAATGTCATATGAGGTTTGAGACTAAATTAAACTTCCTTAAGTGCGGCTAGATTTATAAAAAAAATATTATCAACATTTGTATTTCTAAATAGATTTATTATGAAAATATACTATATGGTTCATCTAATGATTAGTATCATATATATATTAGTATTTTTTATATATTTGTCAAACATGAAATTTATTGACTCCTCGAAACATAAGAATGACATTCTTTTTGGGATGAAGAAACTTTTAATTAAGAAAAAGAATTGATATTTAACTATATGATATCTTAATTCAAATTAAGATATGAACAATCCAATTCGAGCATATTCAGGCCTCGTTCGCGTGTCCTTAAATCCGGTTTGATTTGCTTCTTTTTTCATCCAGAACAGTGTTTTTCTCTCACAAATTTCTCCAGCATTCCTCCAAACCATCCAAATTCCTCCAAACAAACATGCCCTCAAATTTGTATGTATCTATTTTAATATATATATAAATGTGGAAAGCATGCTATCCAATTTAAATCTGACCGACTTGTATCCCTAGAGAAGAGGAGAGTTGTACTCTGTATAGTGGCAGGTGGAGTCCAGATCTTGGGGGCGCTCTGCTCAAGTAGTAGGTCGCATTAAGTCATCAACTCAATCGTCCATTATTTCACAACTACCGTATGGTAAGCTATGGAAACCTAGAACACATATACAGCATGTTTGGATGTTGGTTTCAGCCATGGCTTATCAGTCATGATACAGTATTTTTCTCTCACAATAAACCAGCACCAGTCGGACTTATTAGCCTAGAAACCAACCAGCAAGCAGGCTTATAGCAAAGAAATGTTAAACACAATAATCACACTAGTAGTGAGACAAAAGTGATCGGCATTTTATGTGCCTATGCGTTCAGAGGCGGACCTAGAATTTTACAATAAGGTATTTCACACCAAATTTTTCGTATGTTATTTGGTAAATCCATTTACCAATTCAATAAACAATTATAAATTTTGCATTGTGTTTCGGTATAAAACATTACATAACATGATTGGTCCTAAATTCAAAGTTGAAATCAGAGAAATTAACAAACCAAATACACCATGCGTGAAGAAGATTACTCTCTCTTTAAAAAAAATAAAGATCACATACATGAGAGAGAGTGACAGGGGGCGGCAATACCTATAAAAGATGGCTATAAAAAAATACCTATAAAAGATATGGCAATGCTTGTATTAGGGCGTCCGTCCGCCAGAAGGCCCAAAAGGCTCCCATATCTATTCCCATCCGCTTCTCTTCGGTTACCGCAGTTTTCTAAAAAAGAAAAAAGAAAAAACTCACTGCAGTGTTGTGACCACGCTCCACCGCGCATACCACACGCCTTCACCATGCCTCCCGTGCTGCCTTCTCTCCACCGTGCCTCCCTCTCCACCTCGTGCTCCTCCTACCTTCCTCTCCACCGCGCCTCTCTCTCCACCACGTCTCCCACCCGCCTTCTCCACCGAGCGACCCGCCACGGCCTTCTCCACCAAAGCGGCGAGCTCCGCACCACCGGTGGACTCCACATGCCGACGAGTCTCCATTCTCCCAAGCAGCAATGAGATATTGCACCGAAAATGCATGTTGCAGGTGTATATTTCTAGTGTTTCAGATGTATGTTGCAAGTGTTTCATATGGATGTTTACAAAGTAGATTGGGATGTTGCACATGTTGCAATGGTTGTACACGTATGTTGTAAGCGTCTGTTCTAATTGTTTCATCTACTATTTTCAGACGTATGTTGCAAGTGTGTTTATTTAGAGTTGCATATGTTTCACACATATGTTGGAAGTGTTTTATCCAGGATGTTGCATTTGTTTGGCAATGGCTTTTAAGGTGTTTTCATGTGTTTTTTTGCAAGTGTTTCAGATGCATGTTTCAAGTGTTTCATTTATCTTCAGACGCATGTTGTAAATATTTCATCTGGATATTTCAAAAGTAGATCGGGTGTTGCTACAGGGGACCCATCTGTCGTAGCCTTCTGCTGCAGCTGTAGGGGCACAGATGTCCGGGTGGAGGAAGCGAAGGGGACGCGAGCGGTGCCCACATGGGGTCGGGCGGCGCAGACCCTGTGTGGGCATGTGAAACGGAGTGCAGGCGCGGGCGTCTGAACGCGCGCGTCCGTCCGAACGTCCGGGAGCTAGCACTGCCAGATGTCTGCATGAACAATATTGATATGACACGAGCGGCCGGCCGTCCATGCCCGTACTCCGCTTCCCTACCTCGCCTTATCCAACGCCGCTCGTCAGTCCGCTTCTCCGAAAAAAGATGTGATGCTCCCTTCTCCAACGCGAGGCTCATCGCTGCAGGCAGCGCGAGGCCGCTCGCCGTGGCCTTCTCCAGCGCGGCGGTGCCGCATCCGCCCCCATACCGCACTGCTTCGTACTCCTCTCCCCACTTCGCACCGCACGACGTGGCTACCTGCCCCACTATGCCACGCCGCTGCCTCCATCCCACGTCGTGGCCCACTCCTGCGTTCCACCACCATCCCCCGCGACGCCTGCGTCCCCTGCCGTGCCCAGGCCAGGCAACCAGGAGAGGGGGCCGTCGCAAGCTGGGCCCAGGCCAAGCACAGGCGCTGCTGGCCGCTGCCAGGCCAAGCCACCATCCTCGGCCACCGGCTGGCCAGAACTGGCCATCCTCCCGCTCTGCGCTGCGTCGTACGAAAGAAGGGTGAAAAATGCATGTTGCAAGCCTATGTTTCAAGTGTTTCAGATGTTTTATAGGTATGTTGTAAGTGTTTCATGTGGATGTTGTAAAAGTAGATCAGGATATTGCATATGTTGCAAGTATTTCAAAGGCATGTTGCAAGAGTTTGTTCAAAATATTTCATCTGTTTTCAGACGTATGTTTGCAAAAGTTTTTTATTTGGATGTTGCATATGTTTCACACATGTTGCAAGAGTATGTTCCAATGATTTCAGCTGTTTTAGTCTTATGTTGCATTAAGTGTTTTCATGTTGCAAGTTGCAAGTGTTTTATCTAGATGTTGCATATGTTTCGCACATATACTTCAAGTGTATGTTCCAGTTTTATCTGCTTCAGACGTATGTTGCATTCTAGTGTTTCATGTTGCAAGTTAGTCATGGGGGCACGACGTGGGTGTTGGGGGATGGGGCTCGGCGAGATGTGTGCCCGCGAATGGGGCGCGCTGGGGGCGTGCCTAGGATCCTGCGGACGGGGCGTGCTCGTCCTCATCTCGGCTCCCGGGTCCCACCCACGCTGAGAGAGGAGAGCGGTGTCGCTGGGAAGGAGCCGCGGGCGCAGCGACAAGGGCGGGATGCACATGCGGGGTGTTGCGAGGCGGACAGGGACGCGCTGCACGGACGTCCAGGCGCTAGCCACGCCCTTGCGTGAATGATCGCCAACTGTTAAAGGTGCTTCCTCCAAAGAATTTTCAATCAAAACTATGTTGCCGTGCAGCTGTGCCGATGAGGCCCGATGACCCAGTGTGGTGATGTTGAGTTGTTGATGTACCTCCTTCAGTCCTTCAAGGCTCGATCCGACTCTCCCAGCGACGAGAGCTGCAAGGGCACGCGAAGGCCATAGGTGTAGGGCGATGCACCGAGCGGCGAGCCACGAGCACCGAGTTGCATAGATGTTTAGAGTTTAGACATTGACCACATACAATATGATAGAACCGAATATCAAAGATAGCTCAAGATGCCTATAGAGACGGAACCAGGCATCTCTGTTGTGTCTTTGATGTGGACTACATTAATGACGCGTTATTCTCTGTCTTTATTTAGTCTCATTAGATATGGTGTTTAGTTAATTCGCCATCTCTGATGGTTCATACCATAATCATAGACGAGTTTATCAAGCGCGCGTACGGCTCAAATGAGACCAATCCAAGATAATTTACTTTTACTCACATCTCTAATGTGACTCTGTGTCTCTGTCTGAGACATGGATCATTAAACCTGGGTCACTGCTGTCGGTTCAATTTACGATCCAGCGGTGATATCGTGTCACCGCTGTCGAATCAAGCCACAACTCAGCATTGGCATATCATTGTCAGCTATTCCTCATATCACTATTGATCTGTGGTTCAGACTGGTAGTGACAGGAGTCTTCACTCCCGGATCAACAGGATCCTCAATCATTGTCCGTATCCTAGGCTTAGGGTCTGTTTGGAACGCAGGAATTTTACAGGAATCAGTTCAATTTCACAGGAAAAACACAGGAACAGGAGAATTTTCCCGCGTTCCAAACATGCCCTTAACTCCACAGTGAAGCCAACTCCAGCACACATAGCAGTGATGGGCTGGTAGGGATTGTGTGTCTTACAGTAGCGAAACTCACAATTTCCTGCAGATTGTTCTATTAGAGCACTTGTCAATTATTATCAAGTGGGATTCCCAAAGTTTCTATTTTCTGCTTTGAAAGAATCAAAGGGGGAAAATTAATCACCAAGTAGGCTGTAAACAAAGCATAATATATAGCTGTTCAGGTCAACCAACCCTTACTAGTCTCCTTGTGTCTAAAACAAATTCCCTGGAGCTATTATTGGTTTGTTGCCAGATAAGCAATGACAACACGGCATCAAAGGTCAGACTTCAGAGAAGATTATTTTGCGGGAACGATGTCATCGAGCTGTCCTGTTAGCCAGCATCCTGATATGATATACTGCCGTGCCACTATAAACGAAGGGATGTCACCGTCCTGCTGCATCTGCATAGTCACAACTCGCAACCCATCAGAGGTCATCCCTGTTACCCTGTGTCAATGGCGTCTGCAGTGACCAGCAGGTAACTAAACTAGACTAGAAAGGCAAAGGCAACTACCATATCTCCTCCATCTACAACTTTTGAGTGCATCTGATGTTGCTTCGCCGTTAGCTTGTTGATGCATGCATGGATTTGCAGCATCCATTACAAACAGTTCTGCTGCGAAACAAATGGATGCATTTGGATTAACCAGAATCAACCTTGATGTGCAGCGAGAAGGAGCAGGCCATCCCTACCATCGACGCTGACCAAGCGCATGTGTTGTTGAGCTCTGGCCATGGCTATGTGGATGTCAGGTATGCGTGTAATATATATACTGAAGCTTCCATGTTCTTTTTTTGAGGAAAGAAGCTTCCATGTTCTTATGATCAACTGCGAATGAACTGACGGGGACGAAATGGTTCTTCAGGATGCGGGAGGACTTCGACAAGGCGCATGCACCCGGTGCTCGGAATGTTCCCTACTACCTGTCAGTCACGCCGCAAGGTCAGTTTCTTGATTCTGCTTGCTCACTGGCAGTGGGGGCCTGCTGGGATCGATTGGGGGTGTATTCTCCTTCTTTTTGTTTTTTTAGAAACTAAGTCAGTGATTGATTTCGAATTTAAACTTGCCTGATTATTCTACCTGTTCTCTTTGCTGATCACAAGGGAAGGAGAAAAATCCACGCTTTGTAGAGGAAGTGGCTGTGTTCTGTAGGAAGGATGATGTCTTCATTGTGGTAGATTACTACCTTCATCAATCATATATACTCATAATTACCTTCCTAAAAAAATATACTTATAAATGCTATATTGGTAATTCTAACTAGCATCAGGCAGCATGGCTAGTTAACCGAATCTAGTAATACAATGCCTGCATACTAGCACCACTCATCATACTCTTTATTATATCAGTATAAAAGAAGTTAACTTCATATATTTACGTAGGCTTGCAACACGGGGAACAGATCCAGATTCGCGACTGCAGACCTTCTAAACGCGGTAAATACAGGGCCATCTGAGCTATCAACCTAGTAGGACAAGCTTGTGTCTGATTAGGGTCACACACTCACACTAGGCTGCTCACCTGGATGTGTTCAGGGGTTCAAGAACGTGAGGAACCTGCAAGGTGGCTACCGCTCCTTTCTCCAGAGTGCAAATCAGCAGCGACCTCAACAGCAGTAACCACCACTGGTTAATTGAGCTTGCACTCCCTGAAAGTGGCCTTGTGTGCTATAATCACGGATGTGGATAGCAAGGAAAACCTCTAGTTCAGCGCTGGAGAACGTTCTTTCAAACGTGCTGTAACGATCTGTAACTCCTCTGTTTCTTTCGTTTGTTTCTCTTCTGTTCCATTTCCTCTATTCACATACTGCAGTTGAGTGACACATTTGTCATGTATGAATATTCATGAAGTACTCCAGGAAATGTTTAATGTGCTACGTGCTACATATATTTTACAAGGTATATTCAACTGTATAATCAAGTCTGTGTAGCATTACAAGGAATTGGATTACATGATGCCCTTTGACATATGAATTTCGTACATGTGCCTGGCAAAACTCTGTATCAACATGATTGTTTACCATCATAACCTGACATACAAAGCAAAATTAGTGAATGCCAGTCGCCAGATTAGCTGCTTTGTTCTGGGAGTGATCGGTAGTTGACTGGTTCCTCTGGTCCAGAGCTGCCAGGTTGAATCACAGTGACCTGTTGTCTCAAAACTCTCTTGAGTATACTTGCGAAGTGGAGTTGTGCACAAGGAGAGATCTTTAATTTACAGAGACACAAAGTTTCATGAGCTCTTTCATAGCACCTCCTTCTCCAGTTTCAACACGGCCATGAATGCTTCTTGAGGAACATCAACCCTTCCTATTGCCTTCATCCTTTTCTTTCCTTCAGCCTGTTTGCAAATATCCAGTGACCGCATTATAAGATCACAAAGGGATTCTGGTTTACTACTAGTCATTCATTGTGTTCTATGAAAGCTTAAGTCAATCATTTGTCAGTATAACCATTCTACTACTTATGTATTATACACAAAATGATATTTTCAAAGTTCTTTCTTTGGCCAAACAGCGTTTTTTTTCTAAGAATACCTGTTTCTTCAGCAACTTCTTTTTCCTTGTTATATCACCACCTGCAAGTCAAAAAAAAAACATAGTATTCTGAATAAAGCTTTGTAAGTCTGTAAGGCAAGAATATAGAACACAAGTGTATTAACTGCTATTTGTATGAGATAAGTGTGCACTTGATCATGAAGTGTCAGACAAAGATATTCCATTAGCTTTACAAATGCTTCCAAAGTGCAGGTTATAGTGTTATGTTTACCATAGCATTTTGATAGGACATCCTTCCTGATAGCAGACAGGGCTTCGCTCGCAATGACCTTTGTGCCAATACATGCCTGCCAATGTTCTCATTAGCATCTGATTGCTATTGGAAAATGGGATTGTGAAGTGGAGTTTTTATCACCGCAGGAAAAGGATTGGTACAAGTTGTTTATGCTAATTTTCTAGCACAGGATGCTTGGTTTAAATAAAGCCAAGGAAGGTCTCAAAAGAAAATATGAAGCAGGATCGGTGCCAATCACTTCTTTAGTTTGTTGCTGAAAAAAATTGCAAGATCAAATTCAATGCTCCTTCTTGATATAGCTCGCAAAAAGTAGGCTGAAACATTTGGAAACCCATGACCGCATATTAAAGCATTTCCACCCCCATAGATGGTAGCACTAGCACACAAAGATGTGCATGTGTTCCACATAGTATTTTCTCACTAAATAACTCTTTACCAAGATTCTCTCCGACCCTTATTATCTAACATCCCTTCATGCTGGTATGAAAGGTACTCTTAACTCTCTCATAACTGTCTGACTGATCTTGTTATATACATAAAAGATAAAAGAAATCTGAGAGAACAAGACAAGCAAATCTCACTTGAATAGGAACTCTAAACATTTGCCGAGGTATGAGTTCCTTGAGTTTTTGAGTAAGTGCCCTGCCAACAGCATATGCCTAGAAAAAATATTTCACCAATCAGATTGCCTCGAGAAGCTATTCCATAATAACTATAGGTCTATGGATACAGGTTACTTTTTCGAAAATGAAGTTAGCACTTGATGAGAGAGAAAAAAAGCTCAAACTAAATACAGTCAGAATAACTAACTGTTGTGCTACTTTGTAGACTGCAGGTTTATATAGATGGTTACATGAGAGTACAAAGGAAAGATAATATGTGATAAATCATTAATTAACACAATTGTATCATTGACAATAAGCATGATCAAATACTCAGTCACAAGTAGATTCCTGAAATGTATCTATTGTTTGCAGTTTGCCATAAGTACAGAATCAATGTAAATATTTGTGTCTGTGGGCTGGATAGATGTTTATCTCTTTTTTTTGAGACATAAATATAGCAGGGGAGGCCCCCACTGTATGGATAGATGTTTATCACGTCATAAATAAGTTGTATCGTAATATTTTTATTGATCGTTTGGCCTTGGATAAGAAACAATTGGTCGCTGTTATTTCTGAACTGCATAAGTTATATGTGTAGATATCAACTAAAATGAAGCACCTTATCTCTGTGTACAATTGTTGACAACGCCTCGACAGGATCCCCGTTGATTTGTATATCTAGTTTTACTAGTTGACTTTCTCTGTACCTGTAGAGAAACATATCTCAGCTAACTGTTTCACAAAGGACTACATGGGCACTACCAAAAGGCTGAAACTGCAGAGAAACAAGAGAATAGCAACAATGAGTACCCGATAAGTGAATATTCCATGCTAGCATATCCTTTACTTCGTGATTTCAGTTGATCAAAGAAATCGCCAACCATCTGCATACACAAATGTCCACTAAGCAATAGGAAAAAAATTTCTTCAATTCCTTCGTACGTTCTACAGGTATATTAGCATCAACGAAATAGAACAGCTAAAGGAATATGTTTTGCAAGATACATCATTGTTTAATAATGTATGATAGAATGAAACAACGGAAGTATCTTTTTCATAGCCAGGCTCAAGAGAAACAAACATTACAGACGCAGCAAAAAGATGCAACATGCTTAATGCTGAGACATATCATGCAGTATCAGGTTGCTGCAGGATGAATTTAACAGTGATGATGATGCATTTCGTATAGTCATCTTTATGGCGTAGAAATATTTCAGACAGACTAAAAACTGTTGAAAATAACTATATCAACTGTTTCTGAAACACCTCCTTTTGTATATTTTGCAGATGCATTACGGAATGCATCTAATTACTTCTACAAACTTTTTTAATCTTCAATTTACTGCAAAGAAAATAGCTCCGTTTCACACCTCTGCTAGTGGTAGCTCATAAATAAGTTTGGCCCTGCTTTCTGTGATGAAGTTCATTTCCTTGAATTCACCTCTTCTATCTTGAGCCAGCTCCATTATTGAACCAATATAATCCTTCGGTGTAAGCATTTCAATCTGTAAAGGGGAAAAAAGTAAGACACCAAAAACAATAATCAGACCTGTGCAGGATACTACTCCCAAAGTTCAGTAATACAGATACAACCTTCACATATGGTTCTTCTATAGACCTCCGCTTCCCGGGCTCCGGAAGCAAGGATGGATTTGAACATTCAACCTATATGACATCTGTAAGCAATCATTTTTTTCACATGCAAATAAAACTGACTGGTTTCTGGTTAAGAAAAGGCAGATATTTTTGTCCCAATGCAAATTTACGCACACTTGGATGGTTTAGCTTAGTTGCTCGCAACATGCACCATATAAGAATTTTTGGTAAAAACACTAGGAGTGACTGCAAATGCTATACATGTCATCTGAAATGATAACAGTTGGTCTCTTAAGACCTACATTTCCCCCCTGGCTGTACCAGTGACTGTTTTAATAGAGAACAAGCTTTTCCTGTAGTGTGCAAGTAGAAACTTAGGCACCGCTGTGCAGTACCACTATTTCATTAGTTGTGCAAGTAACAAGTACAGGTGGTTTCCATAAATTAATTCTCCATAGTGAAGTTCCCAAAACATATCCATATTTCCTTAGTGTGACAACAGGACGTTCTTTAATGAGGATTTAAGATGGAAATATGGAATATGTCGTGTTTGAGGTCATTTGAACAGACTTGACAAAAATTGTTGATTATTTGATTTTGAATACAGCTTAAGTTCTTGCACCTCCAACAGATGTACTGATTTGAACAATAGGAGTTATGGCCATATAACTATTATTCTGTTAAGCAATGTTGATTCCAGGAAAAGACAAAAGAGTTCAAGATCATAAAAGACTTACGGTTTCACCATCAGCACAGTTCACACGGTATACCACACTTGGTGCAGTAATTATTAAGTTCAAGTTGTACTCCCTCTCAAGCCTTTCCTGAAAATAGAAAAAAACTATATTGTAGAAATTTCAAGCCATAGTGGTTTTAATATGAACTACACTGCCATGAACCAAGTAGATTGTAAGAACCTGAACAATTTCCATATGGAGAAGACCAAGGAACCCACATCTGAAGCCAAACCCCATGGCACTAGAAGATTCCGGTTCAAACTGCATTAATGGCATGGACTTAGAGAAAATGAAGTATCATACAAAACACCCATGCATAAAGAACATTCAATATTACAGAATCCAAATGAGAACAAACATGTTTGTTTTTGTTATTACATACGTTTTTTATCAGTCACTGTTATGTACGGCTTTAATGACATTGCTTTTACTGCATACATTTTTGTAAAATGAGATGAAGTACTGTTGTGTTTCTTGGCGGTTAGAATGGAACATTGGTCTGATATTCATAACTGAAGGTACTGGATTTGAATTTATTGATCAGCATTCTTGTTCATATTTTAACACAAAGAATTAGTAAACCATCAGGAGAAGACAAGTTTGTCAATTCTTGTTTTTACATTTAATTAGAGATATTGATTACAACTATCTTCATATTCAAGTATATCAATAATTCAATATACTGATCTCATGCATCATGCGGCTACTTGTATACTGAAGACACTGTGGTTAAATTAGTTGTTAGTGGAACTGTTTTGGGGTTTGCCATACCCTCTCTGTTCCAAATTATAGTTCACTTCAGCATTGTCCTAGGTCAAACTTCTCTAACTTTGATCAAGTTTTTAGAAAAATATATCAACATCTACAAATTTAAACAAATGCACAATCAAGGTATATTTCATGGAAAAATTTAATGAAACTAATTTGATATTGTAGATGTTGATAAATTTTTCTATAAACTTGGTCAAAATTAGGACAAAGCCGAGTAAGCTATAATTTGGAATGGAGGAGTATATTTCATGATATCTGAGCTTGTGCCAACACCATTATGTATGTAAGAATCTTGACGCTGTTGCATTAGGATTTCACTTTATAAACTATATTTGATCAATTTCTTTTTTAAGTTCACAATATCCACAATTTGGGTGGGTCAAGGAAAATATGTTCCAAACTTCAAATGCTAGAAATGAACAAAATGCCTTGACAATACATTCATGACAATATGATGATATAGCTAGGCCAGGAAACCCACCTTTAGGGCAGCATCATTTAACTGAAGTTTTTCCAGCGCTTCCCGCAACTCCTCAAACCTATTGACAAATACAATGTTTCATACAACTACACCGTAACAGAAAAGAACGGGACTCAATATAAAGGGAAGATACAGTACTGATCAGCATCTATAGGGAACAAGCCACAAAAAACCATTGGAGTGGCTTGAGAATATCCTGGTAAAGCATGATCTGCTTTTTTTGAATAATGAGTAATCGTATCACCAACCCTGGCATCTGCTACTGATCTTATAGAAGCAGAGAGATAACCGACCTGTCAAAGAGTGGGCAACTAATCAAGATACAAAGAGACATTGTTTTAAATGAACGCAAGATGAAGGTTGAAGAAAAACTTCTGAACTAGACCCTGTTCAGAGATTGCTGATAATTCTATACAGTTATAAGTTTATAAAAGGCCTGGTTTAATTGTTCCGATTGCAGCAGTTAATTTTGTAATCTGGTATGGTTAATACATGGTAACTGTGTTTTTATTTATGAGGAATCATAGCTAACAATAGTTAAAAATAATATGTTCAAGAAAAAAAATAGTTGGCTGATATAGTCGAATAGACAGTTGAACAATATCCTTGAGGAAATGAAATTAGAGAGACAAAAATTTAATATCTTCTTCAAAGGATTATAAATGATGTAAGACATCACAGCATAAAAGTTACCTCGCCAGCATATAGTTCGTCAACTTGCATCTGATTTGGGGATAGTACACCAATTTCATCAGCAACATATTCCTGTTAAATGGACAACAAGCTTAGCATGACGTTCTACCCATGGTATACACAAGGATTATGAAGGTTGAAGAAGTTTTTTTTTTTTGAAAAGAACAACAGCAGGGGAGGCCCCCGCTGTTAGGAATTTTTATTACCCTTTCGCTGTTGAAGAAGATTTGGTAGAATGGGTTTCTGGAAACTAATTTAGATGATGAGAAATACCTAAAGTGGCATACAAATAAATTACTAGGAGGGAGCTTTGGATGGTGTTTCACCAGTGCTACTTTAGGAACTAATTTTTCCGAATAAAAAGTATTGCAGCAATAGAAAGCACATTAACTTTCCGGGTGTGGTTTATGTTTGGTTTTGATTACCTTTCCACAACAACAACAACAAAGCCTTTAAGTCCCAAACAAGTTGGGGTTTTGATTACCTTTCCATTGGCCATAAAACATATCTTGTCCCCTTTCTTCATACTGCCATCAATAACACGGAAGTACACAATTACACCTCTGTATGGATCATAATAGCTGCAATCACAAAGACAACATATAACAATAGTTCAGATACATGTAGAACATTAATTAGCCAATTCTAAAGAGCTCAATTACTTAAAGGGAACCTGTCAAATATAAGAGCCCTGAGAGGATCTTTTGCCGTATCTTTTGGTGGGGGGATTTTGGTCACAAGGGCATCTAGTATTTCAGTGATGCCTATGCCTTCCTACACGAAAGAACAAAAAAGCCAATATGAAGATTATATCTGTTCATAAAGGGGGCACGATATGTTCTATCTGCAGCTACCAGCTTATATAAGCAACTCTGTAAAAAAAGAAAAAAAAAGGAAAAGGAAACAAAAACTAACCTTTGCTGAACACCGAATTGCATCACGGCAGTCCAATCCAATTATCTGGTAACAATAAAGACAAGGATGGATTTTTAGTTCTAAGGAAAAAATGGGGCATAACTTTTAAGTAGGAAATGGAAGGAACTGTTGGCCAAAGAATGTAGAGGACAAGTCTAAGACAGGGGTGATGCTTTCGGAAATACCTCTTCAATTTCCTGTGCGACACGGTCAGGTTCAGCACCAGGAAGATCTATTTTATTTAGAACCTAAACTCGAGGACAAAGTCATTGTCAAACAGACAACAAAAGGAGAATAGACAGCTGGATATCATATAAATTGTTTATTTTTCTATTTCAGTTTAATAAGGGCAATCAAACAATTAAAGCTTAAATGTATTTTTTACGAAGCAACACGAGCAAACTTAAGCAAGTTGTTATCCATGTTACAGAATGATTTTCACATTAGCTATCATCATTAGTTCATTACTCAGTTTGCATCCAGATCTAATAAGGTAAAAGGGCAATACCAAGAAGGAAAACTAGTATTTCAAAGACTCAGATGAAGTCCAATGTATTGGGATTTAGCAATGAAATGAAAATGATTGTAAAAATTGAAAATAGGAACAACAGTTTGTACACAGGAAATGGGGTAGAACAAACCGGTATGATTTCAAGGTTGTTTTCCAATGCAAGATATACATTCGCTAACGTCTGAGCTTCAACACCCTGCATGAAGCCATCATACATCTTTCACTTTGCAGCAAATGTATATTGGAAGCCAGTGAAATCATTGGCTAGATTCCGTGCATTGGCATGCAGAAGACAAATATCTTCAGATACATAGCTATTGAAACTTACAGGAAGGAAATATATATTGCACCTGAGAAGCGTCAACAACAAGAAGTGCGCCCTCACAGGCAGCAAGAGAGCGGGAAACCTAGCATCCAATCAGATAGTTCCAAAGATGTTTAAATGAACTCACAATGTTAAACATGGTATGATCAAATTTACCATAGTACTACCACATACTCTCCAAAAGGTCTTAAAATTTCAGAGTGATCAAATCTTCAATTAGTAATTCTAATAGGAAGCAATCATCCTTGCTGCCTAGAAGCAGGAAAACTTCTCTGTCTGAGAGTGGTATGAACAAGTGACTATATACCTCATATGAGAAATCGACATGCCCTGGTGTATCAATTAAATTCAGGCAGTAAGGCTTATTATTCATGACGTAAGCGCATCCGAGCTGCCTAAAACAAATTATTAGAACAGGTGCAAACATATCAAACACCAAATACGAATAATGTAATGGGAGAACTCATCCAGTACGAGCTATGTACAAGCAAATGACAGCTCAAACTAACAAAAACACAAGAAAACTGTCCCTATATAGCAACTAGTAATTTCAAGAGTTTTCCCCGATTGGTCAAGATAGAGATGGTTAAATGATCGTAATTAACCGGTTAAAGGTTATAGTTTTGTATATGGGTACCTGTAATTTGATTGTGATCCTCTCTCCTCTCCAGGTCCATATTATCCAGAAACTGCTCCTTCATCTCCCTCTTCTGCACCGTGCCGGTAAGCTCTAGCAACTTATCCGCCAGCGTGGACTTGCCGTGGTCGATGTGCGCGATGATGCAGAAGTTCCTGATATTCGAAATGGGCACCTAGCAGGACAAACACGCGCTGAGTCAACACGCTAACGAGCACCGGCACGGCGCGATAGTAGTAACAGTAACATTGCTTGAGGCTTACTGGCTTAGGTGACCAATCACCAATGTATACATACACGATTATATAAATAAAACAGGACTAACGAGTAAGGACGGACTGGCGGCTACCTTCTGGAGGCGGTCCTGGCCGGCGTCGGTGGTGGAAGGAGCAGCAGGCGCGGGGGGCCGCGAGGCAGATGACGCGGCCGCGGGGCGCGGCGTAGAGACCGCGCGGGCGGGAATGACCGCAACCGGGAGCAGGGACATGTCGCCGGCGTCCCGGAGCGGGGAGCAACAACCGCGGCGCGAGGACGGCGAGGCGGGAGGCGGTGGCGGTGGCCATGAGAGCCTGAGAGGTGGAGGAGCGCTGGAGCCTGCGGGCCGCAGAGGTTCGCTTGCCTCTCCGCGCTCTCTATCCACAGGCAGACGCAGTGGAGATTTTGGGCCCACCCAGTAACCGTTGCAACCGACCCGAGCCTGAGTCGAGACAGCCCACCAGGCCTAGCAGTCGAACGCGTTCTCAAAAAAAAAAAAAAAGCTTTAAATTCCACTAAAAAACCAAAAACTGGAGCTTTAAATCTATATGACTATAGACGTCGCTTAATTTTAGAGGCTTTAGAATTTAGATCGACTTAATTTAATTTTCATCTGCTATCATAGTCATGGATCCTATCACCACTTCATACAAAATGAAAAATATATCATGATAATACATTAAAGTTACTAGTAAAGCATTAAAATAAATAAGTTTTCAAGTGAACCATGATTTTAGTTTTACTAGCAAATATGTACGTCCGACAGGCACATGTTTATGAAAACTATTTCAAATGCAATGAAAATATTAATTGAATTCTCGATATGTCAATTTATATATATCATCAACAATTTCTTTAATGCAAAAATAGAATGATGAGTTATTTACTGGATCTATAAAATGTTACAGAAATTTATGGTGCCATGTCTCTCTCGAATATATCTATACAAAGTATACAAACAAATCAAAGTAATTAATCTCAATAAATGATACACAAGTTTATTTATTTTCCTCAATGCAAAATTATATATAGCACAAGTTTTTTTAAACATTTTTTGAAGACACTCGTACCATTTTATCATTTCCCTTTTTTCAAGTGAAACAAAACATGAGCACATGCCCACAACCTTTAAAACATTGAAGTCAACGATGACTTCCAGTGGGGCTGTTCGGCTTCATATTAAGGGTCTAATTGGTTCGTTTCTAAAATTTACCATGCTAATGATTTGACATGTCAAAGCTAGTATTTGGTTTGCTACCAAATTTACTAAAATCTCACATTTATCTTACCAAATTGATGGCAATGTTTTATCCAATTTTAGTTTGCCAGATTTTTAGCATGATAAATTTTGAATGTCAACCAAGCATGCCTAAAGCCACGGCCCCTACAGCAGTTTTATCAATCTACACGGGTTTGTATTGTCAGCATGCCTGTTATATCCCGTCCGTACGTGTTCAGATGGAAATCATCAGACCCGGCCCCTGTACGTTGAATCGCTGACGATGGGATCCGTGTTAGCCTGGAGTACACGCATGGACGCGGCAGAGCGACCTCGGGATCGACATTCGTCAACTGCTACTCCAATCGAACACAACGTCTGGTTTAGATTTGAACGAGCCTATCAACTCGAATGAGATTGAGGAATTTGAGGAGACATACATGATTTGAACTAGGATTATATTTGGGACTCGACAACGAAGGTAATCATCGAGACTTTTCTTTTTTCTATATGTTTTGGGCAGCACTAGCGCCCAGACGTCCGGACACCCACGGCTGCTCTCCGTCTCATCTGGCTTCGGATTCTACGCGCCGCTTCCGCTATCTCCGTTTCAGCTTCGCATCCGAACATGCACGCTTTAGATCCGCTGTCCACGCCGCTTGGATGACTCGCCCCGCCTCTTCCATACCGCACGACGCCTGCCTCTACCAAACCGCTGGAAGACTCGCCCCTCCTCTTTCACAACAAAGATCTCATTGCTCATACCTCCTCCCCACATAGCCGGTGGCGCCCTACACCTCCTCCATGCGTCGGTGTGGTCGCGGCTTGGCCCTGCCCGCCCTCATGGACACCAAACGCCATAGATCTGCACTTACAATATGAAACACTCGAATGCAACATATATTTGAAACAGATGAAACATTTGGGACACACGCTTACAACATGTGTGTGAAATATATGCAACATCCAGATAAAAACAATTACAACACGAAAAAACACTTACCGCAACATAAGACTGAAACAGATGAAACATTTGGAACATACTGTTGCAACATATGTATGAAACATATGCAACATCCAGATAAAAATGAATGCAACATACGTGTGGAAACAGATGAAATATTTTGAACAAACGCTTGCAACATGCTTCTAAAACACTTGCAACATGTGCAACATTCCCTGATCTGCTTTTGCAACATCCATAAGAAGCAACTTGTCGGATACTATAATAAAGGGTACCCTGAGCAAGAACCGAAAAATTGCTTAGGCCTTGTAAATAACGAAACCAAAAAACAACCGCAGTCAAACCCGCCACATCGAGAGGCCATACCGGACCGCCTACCCACCTCGAACAGATATCCGGCTCGCCCAAGCGGGCTCGCCCCAGAAACTAAACCGCAAGGCCTCGGACGAGGTTCCGATTCTCCGACTTGCCGAGGCCCCACACCGCAAGGCCTCGGACGAGGTACCAATTCTCTCGATTCGCCCGAGGCCCGTGCCACGAGGCCTCTGGACGAAAGCACTCGCCATCGACTTCGCTCGAGGCCGCCTCGGCATCAACCCCATCACCGCCGCCTTGATCGATTTCTTTGACAGGATGTCACATCCAACCAACGCGTCCAACCACTCCCGCGACGTCAGCCACACGTCGGCGCAGTACATCGGAGTGGCCGACGAGACGGGAGTCACATCGACGCCATGCGATCCGGACAGACGGCAGGCGACCGTTTCTGGTCACCGTGCTCAACCTCGCGTGCCCATGGTCGACACCCGTCTTTGCATCATCTTGCCTAACCCCTGCTCCAAGGACAACGCGGCGTGGAGAGTCAAGTCCAGGTCCCTGTAGCCTCGGAATCGATGAACAAGACCAACTGCTCCCTCCGAGCCTCGGCTATCCGCTTCGGGCTCACAGTAGCTCGGGACTCGCGCCACCGAACCCCACGACGGCCCACCTGCATCAACTAGGCCTCGGCTCTCCACGTTGTTAGCACTCTAGGACCGCACGCCGCGAACACACGCCATACCTGCGTCAGTCAGCGAGCCCCCACGTAGCGCCACAGGCCTAGCTCATGTAGCCTCGAAATCAGCGTACCACGCCATCGCATCAACCCGGCCTCGGCACTCCGCGGCCGGTCAAACATCTGATAACCAAAGACGCCTCCAACAAAGAAAAAGCGCGCTACCACCACCAGAGCTCCCAAGTCGCACGGGATCAAGCGTGACAAATAGCGTCGCTCTAGTGCACGGAGGACAAGACCGCTCCACCGACCACGCCGCCACAGTAACAAGTTGCAGGGCTCGGACATGCCGCCCCTGCCGAAGAACGCCACGTAACGAATACATGTACCGCCCCGGGGCCTCCCTTTGACTATAAAAGGGAGTGACCAGGGCCGCTTCTAAGGGAGACACCCAGGCAAGCAACGCGCAACGCTCTGTAACACACACGCTCCCTCACTGCAAGAGATCAACATCTCAACCAACCCACGCCACTCCACGCAGAGACCTGGGACTAGCTCCCTCTCTCGCTTAGCTTGTAAGCCCCTACTACAAGCACCTCGGTGCAAGGAATACAAGATCGCTCTCTCAGACTGGACGTAGGGCACCTATTGCCTGAACTAGTATAAACCTTGTGTCTCTTTGCATCACCATCCGGGATTAGGAACACGTAGTACACTTTCACTAGTTGGTTGAGGACCCCCCGGTCCAAAACACCGACACAACTGCAACATATACCTTTGAAACGAATGAAACACCTGAAACATACATTTGCAACATATGGGAGGGGGAGCCTGGGCCGGTCGATTCTAGCCGTCGGGGTCGGAGCCGGCGGCGAGCGACTGCGCACGAGCACCACCGACACCAACGCCACCGGTACCGGGCTTGGCTCGACGGCGACGGTGGGGGATGGGGGCGAGGAGCACCATGGCTGTCGAAGTGGGGGGGGCTCGGTTGATAAGGTGAGGGAGGGCACCGCCAGGGGTGGGGAGGGCACCGCACCGGGGTGGACTAGAGGCGCCCACTCCCCTACAACACCTCGCCGGATGCGAGTCGATCTCGCCAGGGTAGGGGAGAGGGCTGCTGGATCTACAGGCGTTCGGGGCTCCCGGTGGGGAAGGGCGTCGGGCGTTGGTGTGCTGCGGCAGGGGATGAGGAGCGCGGAAGGGGTAAGTGCATGAGCGGAGCAGAGCGAGGCGTGCGGGAATTGATTTTGTTTTTTTAGGTGAGCGGCGCATGCGGCAATGAGTGGAGCGAGACGTTCGGCCTTACGTACGTCTTAATGGTAGCACTACCAATATGTTTTCATTGTAAGAGCGGTGTACTTTGAAAGGATCAAGATGCCCAAGAGGGGGGTGAATTGGGCAAATTCTAAATTTTATGCAATAATTAAGTCCTACACTTAGCCCACTTCACCCCTTGTGCCTAGAATATGTTTCTATTGTTCTACCGCACAAAAGTTTTGCACTCTAGGTTCCAATCCTACTCTAGCATAGCAATTCTAGGAATGTAAAGACATGAAATGAATTGCTCAAATGTAAATGCTCCAAGTAAAGAGAGAGAAAGGAACATGGCGATGTTTTCCCGAGGTATCGAAGAGTCGCCACTCTCCACTAGTCCTCGTTGGAGCACCCGCGTAAGGGTGTAGCTCCCCCTTGATGCGCGCAATGATCAAGTGCTCTCTATGGGCTGATTCTTTGACACTCCATCACGGTGAATCGCCCACAACTGCTCACAACATGACTTGGGTCATCCACAGCTCCACCAAATGAACACCAAGCTCCCGATCACCACCGAGCCGTTTAGGTGATGGCGATCACCAAGAGTAACAAACACAAACTCTCACTCGACCAAGACAAGCCTAATGAGAAAGGTGGATGCACACCTGCTACTCTCTATTCACTAATGAAGTCCTTAATCTTGGATTCTCAAACCTCAATCACTTCACTAGGCTCTTGCTCTTCCTTGCACTCCAAAAGTGTTTCTAAGCTGAACAAATGGGCAAGAGACAACCCTTG